ACAATTAGTTTTTTTTAAAGCCTATTATTTATACAATTAACTATTCCTAATAAAACCTTATTAAATGTATTAATTATGGCCAATGAGAAAGCCACGTTGTACCTGGTTCACCACCGGTGTGTGTCTGGCTATGCTGATGATGTCGTCCGTCTGCCTGGCATTGAAGTTGGACAGTCCTATAGCTTTGACCAGACCTTTGTCCACTAGGCTCTCCATGGCTGCCCAAGTATCTCTGTAGTGTGTGTCAGAGTAACAAATACTTCCATCTTCCAATCGAGGCATCAGCTCCTTCCCCCGCCTGAAACATCCGCACACACACACACACACCAAGGCTGGCTCAGCTGACTGATCCACACAGTGACAAACACTGGGAGCTAAAATCAGTTTATTGTGTGCAGCTGCTCACTGAAATGCCATAGGCCAGTGCATGAGGTACAGGTCCAGATAGGAGAAACCCAGGTGAGCCAGACTGGTCCTGCACGCTTCCTCAACATCCTCTGGGTCATGTTTGGTGTTCCACAGTTTGGATGTTATAAACACCTCCTCACGACGAAGAGCCTGGAGGGGAAACGATACTGGGTATACAAACCATTCACTGCTCAATTCAGGGAAATGCCTGATGGTTAAAATGCTGGAATCGGAGACAGAGCAGTCCATGTGTATCGTGAAAATGTTTCTAGACTCGGGCAACCTTGACCTAGACTGTATACTAAACTCCAATTCCAACCTTGACCCCTTTGTTAATCCTAAACCCCACTTCAGTTTCATTAACCATATCTCAGAAACAGAATATCTGTATTGATGTTGACTCTGTTTGAGCATTTTTAATGCATTTATTTGATTTCTTCAGTGTAGAAATGACAGGAAATGAAGGACAGAGATTTAACAAAAGTTCTCCTGCTGTAGACGTTGCAGTTCACGGTCAGCGGCTTAACCCCCTGAACCCACAGGAGCGTCCCTGTTGACTCTGTTTCACTGTTGTGAGCTCTGAATCAGGGCTCATGTCAGTAGACTTGCTACTGACAAGTCATAAGCAACTGTTGTAATTTTTTTTAACATTAAACAATGTAAATTAAGTTGACAATAAACTTAACTCAAAGTCTACATACTTGTTCTGGAGCTTTTAACCATAAAAATATAATTTATTACTCAATAATCTTTTCTGTAATATTATTACTTTACTTATTACCTGCCAACAGTAATTACTTACACTACTAGTAACTAAGAAGAAGTTACTTTTCTGCTACTCCCCACAAAATTGGTAACTGTGTCACTTCTCCCTAAAATTCTGACTTAAAATTGTGTTTTATTTGTTAAAATCAGAGTAATGGGAATATTTCCAGCCACTGAAAATAAGGATTTCCATCTTCCAAGCTAATTTCCTTCATGATTAATCCAAGGATGTGATTGGATTGTTGGATTTTAAATGAGTAGCGTGGTGCCAACAAAAGTAGTGTTGTATCTAATTAATTTTTGGGGCATAACTGTTACGCTAGTAGTTACTGCGGAAAGTAAGATTATTATTAGTATAATGAGTTACTGCCCAACACTAGTGATACAGTTGAAATCACCAGAACAAGCAAGTGGGTTGAGTTGAGATTATTTTGTCAGCTGCAGGTTCCAAGTTCAAGAATAAACTGTTAAAATCAATGTCCAATTTAAGATGAAACCACCGTTTCTCACCTTCCCAGGACCGACCCGGACAGCCAGAGCCTCTCCCACCTCCTGCTCATTGCTGTATGCAGCAGCACAGTCAATGTGTCTGTACCCACAGTCTAAAGCTGCCAGCACCGCCTGCTTCACCTGAGAACACATGAACACAGTCCAAACACTTCTTCTTCTTATCATTTAACACATTGCCAGACATGTGGTTGGTCTCAACAAACAAAGGGTTTATAGTTCTACCTGTCCTGGAGCACTCTTCCATGTGCCGAGTCCAACCACGGGCATCCTCTGCCCTGTTGAGAGAGTCACGAAGGTGCTCATGTTTCAACTCTGAGGACCTGCTGAAAGAAAGATGGTGACAGAGAAGTGTGTGAGGTGTCACATATAAGACTGCTATGGAACTGGACCCAGTCACCATGACTAAGTCCTAATACTTTGTTACTGATTCACACTCACATCTGAATTCATTAACTCCTGTGGTGCAGCAGGAGTTGTGTGTGTACATATAAACTTCACAAAGCAGTAGCCATAATACATGTAGACAGAAATTCTGCCTACAAAGCAACACAAAGCACCATTCGATGACCTGCTTTTTCTTATTTATTCTTTCCCCTCCGAGCTGGAAGTATAAACCCTCTGCGAACCCAGCCTTATTGCCAGAAATAGCTGATACAGGTATATGGGATTAGTCACAGTGTGGTGCTACTGCAGCACATCTTTGAGCCTTTCCATGGTTCACTAATTGTCTGCTATATCCTTACCATGTGATACACACACGCATTCAGTTGTTTCACATGATCAGTCTCTTAACACAGATCACCCGCCCCTGACTGCCTCCTGACCCGACAGCAGGACAGTGTGTAACTGATTAATGCTCTAACACAGACGCAAAATTGTACAGAAATGAAAGTAAATTAAAGTCTCTTTGTTTTTCTTACCTTGGGTTGCTCTGGTAGATGGATCAGTGATCAGCTGAGGGTTAGTCCATCTGGATTTTAACAGGCTGAGGTCAAAGTCTGTCTTCATTTGTTTATCTGTAACTCAAACTGATGGAAAATGTCCAAACTCCACTGTACTCTCTGAAATAGCACACAGCTAAACATATATTACCAATGTTTAATTACACAAGATTATAAAGAATGATTTCTTACCTCTTTTAAGAGACGCTAACAGAGCAGTTCGACTGTTTTCTATTAAATATTGGCTAATTGGACCTTTCGGGGACTCAAACAGTTATACAGATTAAACATGTTATAAGTCTAGAGGGTCTATGTAATGGTAAGTTATTGTCCAGCAGTAGCCTGTCTGTACAATACAGTACAATATATAGAAGTAAAGTAGCATACAAAGGAAATACTCAAGCAAAGTGAAAGTTTGTACTAGAAAAATTGTACTAGACAGTACTTGTGTCAGTACTAGGTTACTTTCCACCACCAAGAATGAGTGCATTTACATGTGCACTATTTCCCAATTCAGATAGGGGTCTTATAGTATTCTGGTTATACAAACACCTGGTTTCTCATCATTCTCTGTCATGTGTGCTGGTGTGGTGTCAACTCAAGCTACATGGTAAAACAAATAAATAAGATAGTGAAAGAAATGATGATTAACATGCTGAAGTAAAGGGAAAGTGTGACTTCAGATCATCAGAGACCTGGACATAGATATAATAATGTATACAGAGATATGAATAACAAGGTTTCTCATCTTAAATGTGAACGTCATAGCAAAAAACAGGATTAAAACCAGGATACTAATGTGCATGTAAACATATTCATTAAGGTAAAAATCTGAGGTGTACACCACATCAAAGTTATACTCGCTGATAATTCTTGAAAGACAAACTCAGATGACACAAAAAGTTAAGTTCACACATTTGGTTTATTTGTTGCCACTTTGAAAAGATCTTAAATATTGTCGAATGCACATAAGCAGTGACAGTCTTTCAGCATCAGCACATGTGCATTCTGGTTGTAGCCACAGTCCAGCGTCCCGGGAGGCTCTGAGAGGCAGGGCGCCCACGCACTCAGACAAGTCATTCAAGTCTCCCCCATCATCTCATAGTTTTGTATCTTCTATGACATAAAAGTGCATTTATCAACATGTTGCATTCAAACATTTTCCCATACACATGATATATATGACCTACCAGGACTATCTGCATTAACCATACTCATACATACATCTTATCATTGCTGTAAACTACAGTAGGAAGAGCTTTCAGAGCGCTTTCAGAGCCCCCTGCAGCTGAGACAGAGAACAGCTGCTGCAATATTACAAAACCTGTTTCCTAAACAGGGTTTTTCTACTGAAAAAACAGATTTAATGTACAGATGTTACAGATGACTGAAGCAGTTATCAAATCACAAACTGAGGACTCTATGAAACCAAAATGTAGACACCAAGGGAGTCTACTTTTTGGCACTGCTCACAGTAGCACCGAGACATTGCCTTCAAATGGCACAAGAGAAAGCAGAATATACACAAAAAAAGCTGGGTTTCCCAGAGAAATCTATTTACTATGAACTTCAGATTAATGCTTACGTTCCTCTGGGAAATCCAGCCTGTACTTGTACGGCACTTTACAGGGATACATTGGCAAGAATTCGTCCGTTTTTGTATCAAATCCCTCCCTAAAAATGTCCTTGCTTACATACAGTACAACATGGTGATTGACTTAACATTGCTTACTTACTGTTTTTTCATTATCACCAGCTCCCAATGGTAATGTCTAACACAGCATAGGGCATCGTCTGTGCACTTAACATGGCTGGTTGAATATATTACAGTGTGACCTGTGTGTGTGTGTGTGTGTTCACATATGTGGTATGACACCGGGCTAAGGCACCTAAATGTCCCTCAGATAGTGAGCCAGGCTATTAAGTTCAGAGGAGCCACACAGCTCAGAAGGGAAAGCACCCATATTATGTGCAGAGTGTATTATCCAAGCTTACACTGCTGTTACAGTATTTGATTGTCATTCCCAGATTTTCCAATACAGCTGAGATACGCTATTATTATTTGGAGTAATGCGGGACTTTAAGTGCTCTGTGGCATTGCACGCATCAGGATACAATACAACTGTTTTTGGGGGAGACAGATCTTAATAAACAGTAAACGGCCTACAGACTTCAAGCACAATGCTTTATCAGACTGAAAGCAAGAGAAAAGCAGGTGGTTATGTTAAAACCGGGGTTTGCACTGAACACACTGAAGCTGCTGGTACACTCAAGGTAGAAATAAATAATCCTATTTGAAACTTCCTTTGGAAAAGAAAATCCTGGAAAAAATGTTTCTTTTAAAAAATATCTTGCGC